GCCTTTGTAGCCGTGTTAAATGACACTCGTATCCTTTATGCCAACCCCGACCCGACTGTGTTGGGGGATGTTCCCCAACACATATACCAGGTCCAAGTGTGAAGGTAAGTGTGTCGCTGAGTACTTGCACTCTCAAAATATAAGAATAACAAGCCACCAACGTAACAAGCCCGCACTGCAAAAACATTAACCTGAAAATTACCAGAAGAGAGTTTATGGAAGAAAAGCTTAAAACGATTACACATTTCCACTGAAAATCCAACTCTGAAATTTCTCCCGGGGACAGGGAGGGATAGGAGAGGATGAGGGGGATGGGGAGGAGGAGCGATGGGGAGACAGGACAGGCAAGAGGGAGGGCAGACAGACAAACGAGAGGAACAGAGAATATACATCTCTCTCCACTCCTGCACTAAGTATCAAATTCATTATCTTGGTGTGTCCAAACTTTTAATCCGTTTACTGTGCTGACGCGCTAAATGGTGTTTTTGGTTTTTAATATTTGTTTGTAGGAGGAAGACAGGAAGGAGGTGAAGCCAAGTGGGAAGAATTCGTTGACGAGAATGTATTTCGTTATTTTCACAGAACGAAGAGGTTCGTTGTGTGTATAGTAAGCATTTAGGTGTTAAATAACAGTTTTCATTATTCATCAATAATTAGAATCTGTTCATCAGTGATCATCTTTATTATAGATAAGACTAGCAAAATGTACATAAAAGCCACCTTAGGGTCACTAAAGCTTTGATTCTTTGATTAAAGCTTTGATTAAAATCACTAAAGCTTTGATTTTAGGTGTGGAAAATTATCTAAAAATCACTAAAGCTTTGATATTAGGTGTGGAAAATGTCTTCCACTGTTCATTATATTATGTGGTTCGAACAAAGTTGCTCAGTGAAGCACTTGTTCCGGAAATATTCGAACGTCATTAGTTGTGAGTCGTGTGTGTAAACCGTTTTTCATTCCAGCCCGTCCTCCGAACATTCCAGCCCGTCCTCCGAACATTCCAGCCCGTCCTCCGAACATTCCAGCCCGTCCTCCGAACAAAGACCCACAAGTGAGCACAATGTTATCCTGGGCATTTGCTGGTTATTTACTAATATTAAGGATGCTGTGGTTTAGCTCGACGGGCGAAGAAGTTTGACGGTGTGTTTATATTTATTGGCTGATAAACAGAAGACAATACGTCTGCTCTGTGCACTGGCTCCACACAGGAAATACTGGCTGGGTGTCGCACGCGTGTTTAGGTCAGCGATCAGCCTTTTTTTTCTAAGATAATAGCCAATCAGCGATTGGCTATTCTGCCTGCTAAGCATAATAGGCTGCTATAGGCTCATCTGTGGTGATGTGGGTCGTGACCTCATGGCAACGTCACCAATCCTGGGGTCTAACACTGGACATGATCTTACCTACAGGCCCTAGTCAACTGGTCCACGACATGGTAAAAGGATTGCAACCTAGAGCTCTACTGAGCTCACGAGGGTTTACTGAGGCTTCCACTGAAGCCAGACCAGGATTTTCACACAATCCCCTCCCCCCCCCCCATGCACCCTGGCTCTGTCATCCAGGAATGCTCTACCTCCGACGCTTCTCTTTCAATACACAGTAATCACACTAACGTGACTGCGTCAATGAGAAAATCCGGCTCCTATGAATTTGTTCACTGACCCATCACGTTAGTGTGTGTAACACGTTACTGTGTGTGTAATGAGTGAGGTGTTACTGTGTGTGTAATGAGTGAGGTGTTACTGTGTGTGTAATGAGTGAGGTGTTACTGTGTGTGTAATGAGTGAGGTGTTACTGTGTGTGTAATGAGTGAGGTGTTACTGTGTGTGTAATGAGTGAGGTGTTACTGTGTGTGTAATGAGTGAGGTGTTACTGTGTGTGTAATGAGTGAGGTGTTACTGTGTGTGTAATGAGTGAGGTGTTACTGTGTGTGTAATGAGTGAGGTGTTACTGTGTGTTGCCTGTGAACGAATTAACGATAGTTTAGGGAGTTTATCACGAAGATAATTACCAAGACCATTACCAAGTGGTATGAAAGGTGGAGATGAGCGCAAGATGCAAGACAATACTAGGGTGTTAAAAGAAGTACTTTCAGCAATTACCGGGTTGTTATAATCTATGATTCGGTTGTCACAATTATCAGTACCCGCCACAAAGGCGGGTTGTTATGCAGGAGGGACAAGCTCGTACCTGCTTCTTAAGAGGCATTAGTGCCCTGTTGGCACTGACGACTGGCCTCTCCTCCAAGCCGTCCTCACTTCTCCAAGTGCTTCAGGTAAACTGGCTTTACGCTTTCTATTGATAACTACCTTATCTCTATCTCTGGGTTTCTAAACGGAATGAAATATAGAATGGAGTACAAGGTAAGTAGTGACTATATATTAAGTATGTATGAAAGGGAGAACAAAGGGGTAAAGACAGCAGACTCAAATGAGAACTTTGAAAAGCTAATTATAATTCATTTGAAAACTTAAATGCAAATAATGGCCGATTGAGACCAAACACATTGAAGAACTATTTTTTTCATTTCCTTGCACCTACACATGATCCCTGATGCTCATAAATTATGCCAAATTAAAAACACACATATGTACAATTTTAGGTAGTAGCGAATTTAGATATTCTCCCTCCCCCCCTTCCCCTCCTGTTCCTAATATGTTACAGAAAATTCTAGCGCCCTCAGCAATAACTATTCCGGAGGTGAAAAGATTGCTAAAATGCCTGGGAACAGGTGCAATACCTCGCCAGCCATAAATTGCAACTCTCGCAATAGGAAAAATTTTGTTTGGAATTCACAAGTGAGCTTAGCTGGCTTTCCTGATTCCCCGTCGAACAGTATATTTACTAGTTCTTTTTTTAGGTCTATTGTTACTAGTAACGAGTTTAAACCATATTATTAGATGTATTGTTTGGTAGATATATCTCGAGCGAGGTCGATGCACGCGACCACGTGCGCTCTTTATAAATGTTAATGTTTGTAAACAAAAGTCAGCTGGACTAGCGACTCCACCCACTCTTGGACTCCTGGTTCAACCTTGATGATGAGCGGTCGTCTGGACACCTGCTCCGCCTGGGAGCCGCCGGATCACGTTTGGTTTCCGGATTTTGGATTTTTATTCTGCCATTTGGCAATGTCTATTCAACGGTCCGATTGTTACGACGCCTGGGGTACACATGGCCTTGGGGTCACAGGATAGTCGATAGATTTTGAACGTTTTCTGGCTGCTTCTCCCGGCGGGGTGACAGTGTCCGGCGCCGGCTTGGGCCGAGGGGTGCCGGGCCAAGTGTGGTGGGTGCCTAGTGCGCCTTTGGCCATGGTGGGCGGCTGGCTTCTGCTCTGTCGAGGGGCACTGGACGAATTTTGCGTTTTGGTTGGGGGGGCCGAGTTTTTGCTACCCGGTGTTCTCTGTGTGGGGCGAGGCCGGTGCTCGTCACCCTGAGGGACTCCTGGGGATCCCCAATCATCTCCCTGTCTGATTTTATTTGTCGCGAGGTACATTAGTCCCAGAAGGGGCCCGGGTACAGGCCCAGAAGGGGCCCGGGTACAGGCCCAGAAGGGGCCCGGGTACAGGCCCAGAAGGGGCCCGGGTACAGGCCCAGAAGGGGCCCGGGTACAGGCCCATTAACCCTTCACGGGATCGGATCCCACGATCGTCGTCGCCCCCAAATCAGCAACACGCAATCTTGTCTACAAGTCAGTGACATTAAGACCGCTCTTTTTCATGTTGCTATTCAGGTCACGCGGCAGTTGCTATTAACCGGTTAGGTTGCACAGTGCCAGCTAAAGGAACCAGATAGGGTCCTGCTGAACAGTTCTCTGTGCTGCAGGTGCACAACTAAAAGGTCCCCTGGTACATTCCTTCTGCAGGATAGACATTTGGGCAAGTTTTCTTCCGCCTAATGCCTCTATTCGCCTAGCAGTTAATAGGTTCCCACGAGTTTGGTAACTGTTGGTGGTTGCACCCTGAGTAATGCCAGTAGTAGCCTAGGGGTATAGCCTAATAGGATTTGTCCGACAATGGGAACCATTAGGTTATGGAGCGCTGTTTTTGCCGTTAAGGTGCCAGTCGGAACCCTTACCTACCTGCCTGCCTCCTCCCGCTAGTCTGTGCTGGCCGAGGAGGAGGTTGTGGGAGTGCCTATTTGGGTCTCTTCCCAGCCACGGTTAAAAACGAGGACCTGAATGTGCCGGCCGGGTGGGAGCTACTTGGGCAGACAAATTGCCTTCACCATTATTTAATTTATGAAGACTCTGGCCCCTTCTTAGAGCGACGGTCTCACTTCATGCAGATCGGCGTTCACTCCCCGACCGTCCGAGTTAAGCACCAGTCTCTTCCCCCCCCCCCCCCCGTCCCAAATCCTTATCCCTTCCAAGTGCTATATAGTCGTAATGGCTTGGCGCTTTCTCCTGTTAAATTTCCTACCCTTCGTTCCCATCCTGTGCCAGTGGGGCAGACAGGATGGTCACACAACGGGTCCAGGACCTGGGCTACAATGATCTTAAAACAATTTGCATTTGTGAACTATTCGCACAAGTTTTTCCTATTTAACCTATCCTGTAACCTGAAAACTATCCAGGGACCGGCGGTGGGAAGGCTCAGTCAGGGTCATGGACTAAATGTTGCATATAAACTTTGGAATACTTGACTAAGATCTATGATTGCACGTCATTTCGAATGAAATACTTAACGCTAACCTTCAAGTAGGAGTTAATTTTTTTTTAAATTATTTGACATTGAGAGCTCAGATTTTGTCAAATCTATATCAGATGAGACAGTCTGAAAGAGACTGTTAGCCGAGCAATATTATCTTTGAGACACTGTTCTTGCATGGCCAATACTGTTACTGTTCCTCCACGACCAATACCGTGACTGTTCATGCGTGGTGTCAGTTGTTGACACTGTCTCTGACGAGGAGACAATGGGATTAATTAATCCCAGACCCCGTGCCTGGGACTAGCCTATGTGCACATTACTCTTAAGATGAAAATCAATAAAGCATTAATCTGTTGTATTGTTTACTTCAACAGCCATCACACAAAAGTTCACTAAGCATTAACACTAAATACAAGATTTACAGACGAATGTCCATGGGAAGAGAGCCCCTCTGGCTCACCTGCCCTACATAGAGCAGCCAAGCACTGTATCTGGTGTGAGGATCTCGCCCAGAGCCCCGGGAAGAACGCCAAGATCCACAATGTGCATGCGACTGTTGTCCGTGGGGCGCCACTGTGCCTCTGCGGAGTACTGTCCGTAGCGGGTGTGACAGATCACGAACCCCGACTGATGGAAGACGGTCGTCGACAGGAGCAACCAACAAAGGAAAGAGAAAAGGAGATAAACTTGCCATTAAGGCTACACTTCAACATTTACTGAACCTATCTTGCTTTATCTTATACTATCCCAAGCCAAGTTAACCTATCCTAATACTGAACATTACCCCCCCCCCCCCACCCACAATTACAAGTCGTCTTAACGTAACTTTGCCGTTATAGTTCCTGGCCGATGAATATAAATGTTGCCCTTTCATCTCAATTTGTCTAATGTCAATGTTCAAAATTACGAATCTAGTCGACTTTCAACAGCTCTACTTTGGAGTTATGAAAATTCTCAATCATATTTAAATATTTTAGGGAAATTTCTATTTTTAGTGAAATAGTGAAATATAATATAGTGAAAGTGAAATTCCGCTTTAGATAGTGAAATACAAATATTTTTCATGACTTGCGAGATCAAAACTGGAATATGCAGCAGCTATGTGGTGCCAGTATGAGAATTATAATGTAGTATTGCCTTGTAAAACTCATGATTTATATTGTATTTTCTTAAATAAATAAAAAAAAGTATCTCAAGCAGCACATCAATACACTGGAAAAGGTGCAAAGGCATGCTAGAAAACGGCTCCCAGATCTGATAAACAAAAGTTATGAAGAGAGGTTAAAAGGCATTAAATATGATATACCGAAGATAGAAGAAAAAGAGGCGATTTGATCACCACTTACCAGATTAACAGGAATTCTTGAAACATCAAGAATAAGTTCATAAATTCAAACTAAAGAAACAAAGGTGTCGAGAAAAAGTAAAAAGTTAATTTGCAAACTGAGTGGAACAAGTGAGAAAGTGATGGAGGTCGAAACTGTCAGTAGTGTCAAGGTGTTTATGACACGCGCGGTACTCCTTGAGTGCCATCAACAAGTCGGACTCACATGACGAGTGTCTTCGAGGATTCTCAACAGGTCGAAGGACTGATCGTCGAAGCCAAAGGGATTGAGGAGTGCCTGTGCCACCTTGAGCCAGCCCAGGCAGCACACCAGCTCGAGGAGGGCGAAGACAGGCACTACGAGGTCCACCTCGTAGTTCGGGTAATGCCGACTCTCGTCCAGGTACTGTTCACTCACCAGTGAGAAGAGGAAGTACGTGTACACTGCTATCGTCACCACCTGGAGGGGACGAGGAGACTTTACCCCGCCACCTGCCTCTCATTGTTTACCATAAACAATGACCATATGTTCATTATTCCCCCAGTGCCACTACCCACAGTGCCAGAACTTTAACAACAGCTGCCACATGCTCTCTGGATACGATGTATACTTCTGAACTTCTCCATTTATTTCAATTTGCAATATCTCATACTTTACAAGTCTTCGAAATTACAGGTATGTCAAAAAAATCATTAATGATTATTATGAATAAAGTCAAAGATTAGCGAATTACTCCCAATTCAGGGAGGGCGGGGTGGTGCCTCACCTGGGTATAGATCAAGGGAACATTAAACTCGTGCCACTCTACGAGGTGCCTACACTGGCTCTGCAGGTTCAGGATCTCCGCCACCAGCGCCTCCATGCCGGGGCCGGCCTGCAGGAAGCCCTCGTCCCTAGCGCCGTGGACCAGCTGGCAGCTCCAGGCCAGGGGCAGCCACTTGCTATCCCGACAGCCGTGGTCCTCAGCCTCCGCCAGGACCCGGCCCTCTAGCTCCGTCGCCAGATCTGAGCACCAGAGATCACAGCTCTTAAGAATTGGTTTAAGATCTTTATGAGCTGCAATAATTCGAATTTTGTATTTTCTTATAATATGGACTTTTGGATTAAGATTATGTATGTCTAGAACTACTTTTTTGTATCAAGTTTGCGAAATATTTTCATCTTCAACCCATTAGTAATCTGGAATGGAGATGTGTTTAAACATCCTAGTTTAATTCATTTTGTCGGGGGCAAGGAGCCTGTTTGTATATATAATGTATACACAAGTTAGGTTTATAACGAGGGAACTGACTGACTCTTCCTAGGATGCAACCTTAGAACAGCTGACTAACTCTCAGGTATCTATTTACTAATAAGTGAACGCACACGAGGCGACAGGAACTGTGCCCTACCATTTCTATCCTGGGATTCGAACTCTTATATTCTACTGGTCGAGCACTAGTGGAGAACTTTGTATTTGCAGACGACGAGTCACAATAACGTGGTTGAAGATTTTATAACCAAACCACACGTAAGAAAAAGGAAGAAAGGATATTTCGGTCCATCCTGGACCATTATTAAGTCGGAAAGGAAATGTTTCTTCATTTTCCAACGTGGGGTTTTGTCATCGTATTTGGCTCTGGCATATTCAACAAAATGTAAGCCTCGAACAGCACGTCATCACCCATCATCGCTTCGAAAAACAGTTATCTGTACGTGTATTCTCAAGACAATCTACTTGAATGGTCCAGGACGGTCCGAAAGGTCTTCGTCCCTTCACACTCTAGTGTGTGGTTTGGTCAAAAACTTTACTCCTCGATCCCTAAACATCGAAGGTTTGAAAGCCCACATTTCTCGCTGTACCGTCTCCACCACACTACTACTAAACCCGCACCACAAACTTGTGAACAAGTACTCACGCTCTGTCACCAGGCTCTCAGGGTGTGGGTACTTCTTGTGCACAGCAGCGGACACGTGGGCGAATACCATAGTACAGGTGAGGTTAATGTACCGGATCACCCTCGAACGGATCTCGAATGCCCTGGAGTCCTGTTGAGAGGGTAGGGAGGAGTTCTGTAAGTGTTTACACACATTCATGCATAACACACCGAATGTTGTATGTCATTAGGAAGCAAGAACACAAAAAGAGAGAAGGGAGGTTTCCTAACAGACGTAGGAGCTCAGAACTTACATTGCCAGGAATGTGGGTAGCGAGTAGTATGGCAGTGTGGGTATTGTCGGGCATGGCGAGGCCGCTGGCCCACCACCTGGCCACCACCAGCGACACGTAGAACCCCAGCAGGAGGGCCACGGGCACCAGGTTCTTGTACCGAGCGCTCTGCATCACCAGGTCCTCAAACATCCTTACCATAAGAAAAAGTGAAAATATATCAGCATCCGTCTTCAGTTAAAATAAACTTTAGAATCCCCTAATTAAATTTTCTATCAGCCACTAGTACCGCAATTTTTAAGATTAAAAATATTTAGACTCGAGTGGTGATCAGAACGTAACCGGGACTCACATTATAGCAAACGGTTCAGTACAAAACTATCAAATTATTGATTAAAAAGTACCTCGGTAACAAATCTACTTATAAAAAACAATATATTTATGTAACAGAACACATGTAATAGCCAAACCACTTTGTTTTCAAATTTGCTTTACCATACTTTTCTAGAATTTACATAATAAGTTTGAGTTGTCTTCTATTCACAAGAAAATTTATTACGTTAAGTGATCTAGAGCCTAGAGTAATAGTGGTACACACACAACATGGCGGTGTTATCAGGCAAGTTACTCAAGATCACTTAGAAATGGTTACTAGATTTCAACACCAAGTGCAAAGGAGATTGAAGTGGGACCAAGTGCCATGAGACCAAGAAGAAGGTACTGTCTTCTTTGTCTCCAGAAGCCTCGACTGTCACTCCCTTACACCTGACCCTCCCCTCACCAAGGCTTACCGGACGCACTAGGGTGACAAAAGCTCCAAAACTCTAACTTGTTCAAACAATTTTAACTCCAAAAAGATGGTCTCTTGTTAACTTTTTCACCAGCATGACAAAACAGGTGGCGGGTCCGGCGCCTCGTTGCTCTAGAGACCAGCAACACGCACTCACAAACACTGGCCAGACTTACAGACCTATCCCCACTTTTTCACAGCATTCATTTCCACGAAACATTTTTTGTAACGTTGGTTCAATGAGGCTGCGTGGAACCCCCATGGGCCTTCGAGGGGAGGTAGACATACATGTGAACAAATCCACAAGGGCCGTGACGAGGATTCGAACCTGCGTCCGGGAGCATCCCAGACATTTGATGCATCACGTTAGTGTGATCTGTGTGTGTGTGTAGACATACATGTATTACATCACGATTAATGCCAGGCAGGTGGCCAGGGCCTGCTCAACGGGACCCAATGATCCACTTACTTTTTGTGAGGGTCCTTCAGGTAGAAGCGATACAAGCAGGAGATAATCGAATACAAGATTATGTACGCGAGCAAATCCCTCCATAGCAACTTGTAAATACTTCCTCGCCACCTGTAAGGGCAAGTTCTCAGTCGGTACACTGGTCTATATAAAAATCATTGTCATTTATACAATATGATGCACGCACGCTCACTAAGAATTCAGAAACATTTTTGTTCTTTACCAAAAGTTGCATTTCATCCCTCGCCTACACGTGCATATTCAAGCAGAGTAACAACAACCACTAACCAACATTTCTAAATAAACCAACGCGTCACACGCAGGTCATAATGTCCCTGAATTACCATTAAGTCCGAGGAACCAGTAGAAGAGTCCATCTTTACTCAAAAAGGAGAGAAGATCCAAGGAGTAGACCATTCTGAATATCTTCCAAAGACAATTTTTTCCGACATCCACAGCCCATAAGTTAGAAATCATGATAGCTTTCAGAAATTTGGTCATTTGGGGCGTTAAACGCCAGGTATGGGTGAACTACAGCATTTTCTAATATTCTGTATCAACATAAAATCCGAGGCTGTTTGGCAAAGTAACGTTACGATGTACAAAGGTTTACCTCCAGTCTTGGCCCGGAACCGAAGACCATTAGTTATGAAGAAAAGTTGCTCGAGCGTTTCCTTCATAAAAACTATAAAGGCACAGGACTAAATAAGACAAAGAGGTATACGACTATGTAATATTCATGAAACCTCTGGGTTTAAGCACCCAAATGTTTTCTCAATTCTCCCAAGAGAAAGTAAAGCTAAAAAGAATGTCCCGAGGCTTAACTACATCTCCCAACAACTATTTCGACATATACCTCGCACGATCTGTACTCTTGCTACCCTTCTCTATCTCACACCAACTATTTTCCTACAAAAAATCTGCCCAACACAGATGTTCTCCCTCTGAACCTCTCCCCACCCCGTATCTCACTACCAGCGCATACTACCAAGAACAAGAACAGACGAATTATAAATTTGGAAATAAGCAAGACGAGCCTTAAACAATAGTAAACCAATGCTGACAAACAATTAAGCAATAAAAAACCCAACTTTAATGTACTAGTGGAAACCAAAGCTTCAGAATTTATCTAATGCAACATTAGATAACCCTCCGATGCAATGTAATGCAATTTCTAATTCATAGAAATTTATCAAAAAGCAAGGCTGTCAAATTATACTAATAACGAAGAATAAAATGTGTAAAATTTGAATATAATACACATGGATACCTGGGCTGTACGACTGATTAACATGAAAGATAAAGGTTGTTGTAAAGAGCAACCTCTCACAAACATGAGAAAACATGCACCATAGGGCACAGCAACAGCTCACAGAGCTAAACTGACTGTAGGGACCCCAAGATAATAGAGACACGAGACTAGGACTTAGAAAACCCCAATGGTAGGGAAGAAAGATGAAAAAAAAATTTCGTAACAACTGGAAAGGAGGAGATAACTATCGTAATGAACGCGATTGTCACCACAAAATAGGGAGGGCAGTGGAAACGAACATGAAAACCACCTAGAAGCAGTGACAAGTGCTTCCTGGTCTTTCAGAGAACTGGAAGCAAATAAATAATGAGAACAAGGAAAGGATACAAGACAAATTGAATTGCATAATGTGTAATAAAATGAACAAAAAATCAAAGTTTAACCTCCACAAGTACAATTAGTCAAAGAGGACAAACTCAGGGTAGTGTACTAACCTGCAGAGTAGCCAGCCGTAGACGCAGGATCGAGTATTCCTTCCCAGGATCTTCGTGTACTCCAGGACCATGTTATCTACCAATACACTGTGGTGACTTAAATTAACAGCCCCTTGGCCATGAAGCCATGTCTCATGAGAATTCTTCGTAAATCCCTAGGTTAAGTATCCTGCCTCCCTCAACCGACGGTGGACATGCACACCGTCGCTTCCAAGAATCACAGAGACCAAAACCTCATTAACCCAAGAAACAAATGAGTCGAGGGGCAGAATGCTCCGACTCTCGAACAGCCTGGATGTCGCCTGACCCAGAAGAGCAGAAGTCAGACTGCTATGAAGCCCAAACACGATATCAGTCAAAAATATTTTTTGCCCTTGCTCTAAAAGCCCTAGAACCACTTCTCCGATAGACACACTAGGTATGGCCAAGGGCCTCTTACTCAGCACTCCGGCGAACCTGGGTCCCACTACAGTTACGGACCAGGTTATTAAAGTCAGAGCAAACCTCGATACAAAATATAAAATGAGGTTCTGGAGATGAAGGTTCTCTATTCTGGAGAGCCACTTGGGGTTCAATTCTCTTAGGTGCGTCAGGTTCACATCCCAAGGCCGTCTTGTGCCCAAGTCCTGAAGGGTCCCAGCGTGTAGCTCGTCAAGGTATTTAGAGGCCAGTTTGGTAATTAGCTCAAGTCGGTTCACACCGACACAGTTGCGACTTGTGTAGTGATTAGCAGGTGACCTCTCGACACAGATTACCTGCAAGTAAAAGTTAAATTGTTAATACTACAAAATAAGAGTTCACACACAAAGTAAACCATGTAGTTCATAGGTTCACTGTCCTCTTGTCAGCGACAATGATCAACCTCAGTCACAGTGTCAAGAAATATGATCAGGACCTGCTAGGCTCGTCGGCCTCCCGCCAATCTACACGTCCAAGACCGCCATCCCCCTCCTCCTCCACCTATCTACACGTCCCAGACCACCATCCCCCTCCTACACATTCGACTGGGGCTAAACATGTACACAAGAACCTCTAGACACCCCTGTTATAAGCAGCCAGGGACCACACACAATACTCACAGCTCTAGGTGTGGCAAGACATTTAGCTGAAACATTCGTTGTGTACAAAACGTTTATTCTTTGAGAGAGGTTTACCAACGACCACTGGTGTATGTCGCCTGGTAGCCAACGCCCGCCGCGTCGAGCCTGGTAAACTGCAGCTGTAAGACTGTCACTTTCCTGGTGACCGGTCCTCACACTAGGCTGTTTACAGCACCGGCGGCTGTTCTCTCCAGACATTCATCAATTTTAACATACTGTGTATTAAAAATTGGTTTCTTCTCGTATATAAATTAATATTATTATACAGAAAAATCCTATGTATAGTTTGGCGTAGGTTAGGTTAGGTGTTTGGGTTCTGTTGGCGATTATTTGTGTTTGAGGTACGTGGGTGAAGCATTTATAGAATTGTGGTTCAGAGGATGTGAGCGAAGCACTTGTTCTGGAAGTGTTCGGACGTTATCAGTTGTGAGTCGTGTGTAAACCGTTTTTCAATCAAATACCAGCCTGTCCTCCAAACAAAGACCCAAAGTCCATTCCATGCACCTGTCAAACAAGCTGTTTATGAATGAAAAACGGTTTGCACACGACTCACAACTGATTTCGTTCGAACACTTCCGGAACAAGTGCTTCACTGACTACTTTTGTTCGAACCACAACGCTATAAATGCTTCACCCACGTACTACAAATACAAATAATCGTCAACAGAACCTAAACACCTAACCTAACCTAACCTATACCTATATATGCACAATGTGCTAATATATTATAATATGCGGAAAAAACCACATGTGAAAAATAGAGAATGCTTAACGCGTTTTCGGCTAAAATGAAAGGGTAGAATATTGTAATATAAATTTATATAAGTAGAATATTATAATATTAATTTATATTTGAAAAACTACCCGTTTTGAATGAACAACATGTTAAAATTTATGAATGCGTCTGTGGGGTCGACCGCTGGATGTAATGGCCTTGAGTCGTGGACGGGTTGGTTTGTGTGTTGGGATTACGATTATGAACCTCTGGATGGTTATTTAGATCACCACATTAGCTTACCAGACAGCTAACAAGTATACATTACTGCTGAACACACATAGTCCAAGACTAAAGTAAACTAAGTATACATACACTGACAAGCGAGGTATACCGTTGTGTTCACACATCCCCTTGGAACAAATTGGTTTAGTTACATATTTAGTTATTAATAACAAAAGCATCTTCTACAAGGCAACTTTTCCAACGACAATACCAGCAAATTATGTTGACCAAACCACACACTAGAAGGTGTAGGGACGACGACGTTTCGGTCCGTCCTGGACCATTCTCAAGTCGATTGTGGACCATTCTCAAGACTTGAGAATGTTGACTAGACCACACACTAGAAAATTAAGGGACGACGACGTTCCGGTCCATCCTGGACCATTCTCGACCTGAAAATGGTCCAGGACGGACCGAAACGTCGTCGTCCCTTCCCTTTCTAGTGTGTGGTCTGGTCAACATACTTCAGCCACGTTATTGTGTGTGACTCCTCGTCTGCACTAGCAAATTATCTCACAATCATCCCATACAACACAGCAAATGTTTTAGCAACTCAAATACCCACTGCGCATGGGAATTTGGAGTTGCTAAAACGCGGATTCCGCGGTCATGGAGCGCGGAATCTGCGAACCTAGGCGCGACTCTTGCATGACCCACGATAACGTCACTGTATTCAATAACAATCTCTCGACTCCTATTAACATCAACGTGGCAACATGGAAAACTAAATTCAATTACCAATGACAATGCATGACAGGCTGCCTGCAGAACTGATATTAGTCTACTATTACACCCGTTTAATTTTCAATTCTACTGTAAAAAAAAATATATGTATATTGACGGCAGAAGCACGCTCACTTTTATATAACCTTGATATTGTCATTTTACAACCTCATGTTAATAACGTTTGTTCAGCATTGATTAATTATGCCATAAAGTTCAGCATGGATGGATAGAGTGTCTGTATGTCCAACGTTGGAGACCAGACGGCTATCCTTCACTTACATTTACAGGGGGAATGGTCTGGAGTATGAAACGAACATAGGATGCTCGGAGTTGGCCAAGTTAAATGTTTTAAGATATATTAACATTTGTAAACACTTGTTTGCCATCTTCACAGTGTCTTTCATGGCGTCCAAGTGTTGTTGTTACTGAAAAGAAACATGCTATTATGATTTGTTTGTGATCTGAAGAAGGTCACCTTTATCAGTCTTGAGGGAGAAAACCCCGTTACCAGTGAGTCTTGGGGAAAGATCACGTTACCTGTGAATCTAGGAGAAGATAACTCGTTTACCAATGAGTCTGGGGGTAAGATAACACCTTTATCAGAGAGTTTAGGGGAAGATAACCACGTTACCAGTTAATCTTAGGGAAGATAAGCCCGTTATCAGAGTTTGGGAAAGGGAAGAAAGCCTTTGTTAGCGTGACTATCACTCGTCTTCTCGTCTCTCCTCTCCTCTCTTTTCCTCTCCTCTCCTCTTTCTTTCTCTCTTGTATTATCTCTGTTCTTTTTACATCTAATGCTCCTCTTCAATTAATTCTCATCACATCACATCTCTCTCTCTCTCTCTCTTTCTCTCTCTTTGAAAATTAAAATCAATATAAACTCTTGCTCTTCCAAGCTTTTTTTTTTTTTGACTGGACCATTTTGCCTCGGCCGAACTATAAACTCAAATGCATTTTTCAGACGCATACAATTTCATTTTTGTGTTGCCTGATGGGCATGGAAGCGGAACTCCTGTCCAATTGTTTCATTAATTTATACAATCTGTATTGCCTTGTATTGATATGTTGCTCTGACACATTAGCACACAATAGACCAGATAACGAGAAATGCTTTATAATGCTGGAGTGGGAAGGGATGGATGGATGGAGGGAGGGGGTAGAGATGGATAGAGGGAGGGGGGGGGAGTTGAAGGGAGGGGGGGGGGAGTGGAAAGGGGGGAGGGGTGAGATAATTCTCCCCGCTCTATATTAATAAATAATTTAGCCAACTCGGCTTTCACATTCCCTACACATGCGATAATTAATATGCCCCCCCCCCCGCTATTAATGCCGCCATGGACCTCCATACATCACTCTAGGGGGGTTGAAAACTGCGATTATAACAGTTTAATTGGTCACGTCAGCTCCTGCTACGCCTTTATTCTTCATTATTTCCCGTTTTTCCAGTTCTTCCTCTTTCGTACAAATATTTTAGTAACACTGAACCCCCTATTTCTTGTGTCTTCTTCTCTGATCTTCCCTCTGCTTGGTCCTACTATTCCTTCCGTCGTCCAAACCCTTTCTCATTTTCTGCACGCCCCTTCTCTCCATCCATCCCTTCGTCCACCCCTTTCCCTCTTATCGTCCATCCCCCTCCCACATATCTGTCTTATCTTCCACCCCCCTCTCTCCCACCTACCTCTCTTATCTTCCACCTCTCCCTCCCCCTCCCCCCTCCCCCCCCCCCCCCTCGCACCAGGGTCACATTAGAGGACAGTAATGGCGCCGTAAAACCTGAATTTGAGGGAAAATTCAGCATTTTAGCGGGTAATAACAGTCTGAGAGAACAATATAGCTTTATTCATTATCACCCTCACATGGATGTCGTGTGTGAGAGAGGAGGAAAGAGAGAGAGAGAGAGAGAGAGAGAGAGAGAGAGAGAGAGAGAGAGAGAGAGAGAGAGAGAGAGAGAGAGAGAGAGAGAGAGAGAGAGAGAGAGAGAGAGAATGTTATTAATACATAATAATAATTGAGAGTTGTGATGAAACCTTGACAGACGCAGTTCAGCCGCCTCCACTTTTCTCTCTCTCACCACTTTCTCTTTCTCCCTTATCTCTGTTTCCCCCCTTCTCATTCTCTCCCCCCCCTCCCCCCTGCCCCCCTCACTCCTGCCACTCAGAGCCCAAGTCCTCACCCGGCCGTAACGCCCTTCCTTCAAGCGGCTATTAGGGCTAAATATTCATATGGTCGACGTTTCAGGACCGGTTAAGGGAATATTTGCCTGATGGAGGCCGGGGAGGCGTAGTGGCCTCGCTCTGGGGGATTACACAAGGCCGGGGGGGAGGGGGGGGGGAGCTTTTGCGAGGGGGGGAGAGGGGGGGATTTGCGGGGGTTCCTAGGGGTGATGGGGTTGGATTGGGATGATAAGAGTGTTTCGGGTATGAAGAATGCTTCAGTTGATTTGGGCGCTTGAGTTGATTGGAGGCACTGAAGTCGATTGGGGGGATGCGCTTGAGTAGATTGGGAGGCGCTTGTGTAGATTGGGAGGCGCTTGAGTAGATTGGAAGGCGCTTGAGTAGATTGGGAGGCGCTTGAGTAGATTGGGAGGCGCTTGAGTAGATTGGGAGGCGCTTGAGTAGATTGGAAGGCGCTTGAGTAGATTGGGAGGCGCTTGAGTAGATTGGGAGGCGCTTGAGTAGATTGGGAGGCGCTTAAGTAGATTGGGGGGAGCTCGAGTGAACTGGGGGAGCTTGTGTAGACTAGGGGGCGCTTGAATAGATTGGGTACCCGGGTATATTGAGTGTAGAGGGGTTGTTTCATGTTAGTATTTTTTTTTTTGCAGGAATATACCTGCGTGGTCCCTAAGCCTCTGGCTGGCCTACTAAGTGTTCCTAATACCTGTCTTATTTAGCCATTAGATGAGTATTGATAACTGCTATGCTGGCTTTAGTTAGATTCTAGCCATTGTGTTTAACAACTTCTTCTATGCTGTTAAGTCTCAAATGAAATCTTAAATGTTCTGTAACTATGCACTAAATTAGATAATGTTACAGTAGTGTGTATCAGGCTTTTTTCCCACAGTGATAACATTTCCTCTCATCTTTTGCACCTGAAAGCGTATTTCTAACACATATGGGTCTCCGAACCTGATGCGGTGTAAGTGCACTTCTGTTCTTCTATTGTTCCCCCCTTTCATCAAAACAAAACACATATGACAGAGAAAAATAGATCGTTATTCAATATGTTAGACATCGATGGTTAGAAAGGCGGGGTCCAAGAGCTAACAGTTCGATCGTATAGCCACAAATAGCAAGCACGCATCCACACACACACACACACACACACACACACACACACACACACACACACACACACACACACACACACACACACACCCCACCAACACACACACACACACACACACACACACACACACACA